CCGCTCTGACGGAACTACTGCCAGCTGCCACGCTCCGCCCCTCCCCCGCCTGCCTCTTCACCGCCGCGTCTCAGTCCGCCAGCGCCGCCGTCGCCGTCGCCGCGGAGGGCACCGGGCGAGCGAAGGGTGGAGGGAGCGCCTTTCCCCAGTCCAGGGCCGCGGGCACCTGTGCCAGCCCCTTCCGTTCTTTCGGAACGGCGCCTTCTTACTAAACAGCCCGGAGGTTGGACTGGGAGGGCGGGGGACAGAGGCGGGTCATGGGCTGAGGGGGAGGGTAGACGAGTGGCGGAAACCCTCAGACCCAGAGAAGCATCGAGAACCGGAAGGAGACCATGGGAGGAAGGTAATGGAAGCGGCAGCTGCGCGGTGGAGCCCCACGCCCCTCCCGACAGCGTCCCCCAGTTTCCTCACTTGGGATGGAGGCGACGGATCTCGCGAGAGCCTCTTGGCCGGCTAACCGGAGCTTTAGCGCTGCAAGGACTTAAGGGCAGTTTTGTGCGCTCTTCCCCCGCCCTCAAAGCCGCCAACTCTCGCGAGAGGAAGGCGCGACTGGCTCGCGCTGGGGCGGGCCGTCGCCCCGCGAGCACCGCCCCGGAACGCTGATGCTGGTGGGAGGGAGAGGAAGTGGAATTCCCCGGCCTGGTGAGCTAGCGCGCCGACGCGGCCTTCTGTGCGCCCAATCAGGAATGTGCCGTGGGCGGTACCGAGGTCTCTGCCAGATAGCTCCAGTCGAGGCTGAGCTGTGTGTGAGGTTTCCGGTGGAGCAGGTGAACGGTGTTTCCTCACCTCCCCTTTGGCTCCGGTTAAGCAGCGAGGGCAGGTGCCCCTCGAAATGGGAACAGTCGTTTTATTAGTAAACAGACTCAGGCCTGCCCCACCCGAAACATCGTGCATGGCCGACCGTACAGGGTCCGTAGAGAAAAGAGCAGGCCCGAAGACCGTTCCGAGTTAGAGCTTCTAGAGTCAAGCTTGATTGTGAATTGATTAAAGTGGAGGAGACGGTTAGGGACTGCTCGTCTCCATAATCAACCGCCACCATCGCCAGTGTAGGTATGGGAACAGGCCTAATACCACAGTATCTTTTTCCTCCTGTTACTGTGTTTCAGATCTTGAGCCAGGAAGTGGTGAAACTTGGTCAAGATGTCATGTATTGTACTTCTGAGTTAGAAAAAATACATACTGAGTATCCAGGGAGGGGAATGTGGATAGGATTGGCCAGTCTTGTCTCCCACTGGACAGGGAGATGTTACCTCCAGTGTATTCTTCAGGCAAAAGATAGTTAAGACTGACTCCCAGCCAGTTTTGTAACACGTAGATTTTTATGTGCAAATAAATATGCAGTTAATGATAATTTTTAAAAAATAGTTAAGACCTTATTTTTTTTTAACCTTGGTATAGGGCATGTGCACCAACTGGAAGTATGGTATGAGATAGTACCCCCAGAGTGGGGTAGTCAGGCTGCAATACTTTATTCTCTTGGGATTTTGAGCATGCCTGCACACGCACCTGGTGTATTTTTCAAGCTGTCAGATGTGGCACTCAAACCATCGCTATTACGATCAGGCTGGCCAGAGACCTGAATTTTTTTTTTTTTTTTTTTTTTGAGAGGTTTTCGCTATAAGGCCAGTGTGCTCTCCAGAGAGAGACACAAAGCGAGAAATCACCCCCTAGGGGGGATGGCCATGCTGCAATCCCTTCTCCTTCATTCTCCCTCACCAACCAGAGTGAAGATTTTTTAAGAATCACATGGAGGCCCAACCTAGGTAGGCAGCTATGCTGGTAGACACTGCTTCTAGGCAGGCCAATGCCACCTTTGAAATCACCTGGGTTTTGTTCAAAATGCAATTTGACTTAGAAGGCTGAGAGTGGTGCCTAAGATTCTTTCTAACAAGTTTCCTGGCCATTGAGATTTTTCTGGCCCAAACTATCCTGTGAATAGAAAAGCACCAAAGTGCTCACCTCATGACCTATTAGACCCCTGCCAATTCCTCCTCCCTGAGTACTGTTGCCTTTGTTCTTTCTCCTAGTAAGCCAGATGCAGCAGAAGCATAGCATTAGCCCAGGTTTGAGATCTCACTGATTGCCCCCCATTTGCATGATATTAGTCTGGTTACTTATTTTCCAGAGTCTGTTTCTTCATGATTAAGCTAAGTGTGACAATAGCTATCCTTTCTCATAGGGTTGCTATGGTTCAAACGTCATAATATATGTGAAAGGACACTGTAGACTGTGCAGTGTTGTAAAAACTAAATTACTAAAGCAAGCAGTCAAATACTAGCCAGAGCATAAAACAAGTCTATAGTAACAATAATCTAAGCCACACGTGTGTGTGCAGCTCTTTACCTACAGGTACTGTGCTCATTAGTCTTTCACAACTGAACGTACAGAGGCTTAGTTACTATTGCAAGATGACAAAGCTAATAAATGGCAGAAGATGATTTGAACCTGTACAGTTAACTTGAGAGAGTTCACTGAATGGAGTTTCATACTGACTTTTTTTTTTTAAAGAGGGAACCAGCAGTTAGCGTAATGGCTATGTCGCTGGACTCCCACGTAGTCGACCGCGGTTCGTGTCCCGGACCCGGTGGCTTAAAACTCACTCCGGGCGCGTGTGCGTGCGTGCCCAAGATCCCGAGAGGAGGATGGAGGAGAAGGGATTGCGGCGTGACCATCCCCCCTGGGGGGTGATTTCTCGCTTTCTGTCTCTATGTCTCTCTCTGTCTGTCTGGTGAGCGCACGCGCCCTACAGTGAAAATCTCTCCAAAAAAAAAAGACAGATTTTTGCCATAGGGCACGTGCACTCATGGGAGATACAGAGACAGAACGAACAATCACCCCCCCCAGGGAAGATGGCCACACTGCAGTCCCTTCTCCTCCGTTCTCGTGTTGGGATTTTGGGCATGCATGCACACACACCCGGGATGCATTTGAAGCCATGTGGTCTGGGACTCAAACCACAGGTGGCCATGTAGGAGTCCAGCAACATAACCATTATGCCATCTGCTGGTCTCAGTATTGACTCTTAAATTTAGAAAGAGTAAGATGTTTTATGTTTCAGGTGTAAATGCCTTCTGAATCTAATTTATTTACCTATCTGTTTTGTTCTTTCAGAGACTGAAGTATAAGGATGGTAGGAAACATTTCCACCTACCTGAAGGAACTCATAATATCCAATCCAGGGAAGTTCATGAGGAAAAGCCACAGAGGAACCAAATCTTATTATGCTAAACTGAACAAGCTTCAGTATAAAAGTATAACAAACATTGATGCTGTGGATTAATGGAGCACAACAGATTGGGACAAATTGGGAGGTCAGAGTTGTTTGCAGTTTTGTGCCACAACTATGACTCTGTCAAAGCCACGGACCTTTCTCAGAATAATGGTGTATGGGTATAAAATGAAATTCTTTGCACTATGAAAGAAAACATTTGAAATACGATTATAAAAATATTAAAGACTAATAGATATCACAGCTATCTCTGTGATTGAGATACAGATATTCTTTATTTTCTTTCTATAAAATATTTATTTATTTAATTCCATTTGTTACTATTTTTCAATTTGACCAGAGAGAGAGAGAGAAAATGAAAAAGCAAGTAATCACGTTCAGGATTCACACAGCAGTTGGCCATGTGGGAATCCAGCTCCTGTAACCGCCCTGCCACCTGCCAGCCCCTAGATATGCTTGCTTGCTTTTTAAAATTTCACTAGTGGGGGACCAGCAAGTGGTAAGGTGGTTAAGGCACTAGATACTCCCACATGGCCAGCCGTGGTTTGAATCCCGGACCTGGTGGCTTTCTTTCTCACTTTCTCTCTCTGTCTCACTCTGGTCAAATTTAAAAAAGAATCACTAGAGGGCACATGCATTCACTGGGGAGAGAAAGTGAGAAAGCACTCCCATGGAGGATGACCATGCTGAAATCCCTTCTCCAATTCTCCCTCCTGTTGGAATTTTGAGTATACACACACACACCTGCCTGACATTTTTTAAAGAATTATTTAACTTTATTTATTATTTTCCAGTTTGATTAGAGAGGGAAAGTAAGAAACCAAGCCACCAGGTTTGGGACATGAACCAAGGTCGGCCACATGAGAATCCAGTGCCTTTAACCACCATACCAACTGCTGGCCCCCTGCCTGGCATGTTTTACTACCTGCCAGTTCTAGAACATGAACTATGCAGTGGGGCTTGTAGGATCCAGCCACTTTAACCACCATGCCACTAGCTGGCCTTATATGTGCTTGATTAACACAGTGGTAAATAGTGGTGGGCCTAATAATGATGAAAATGTTGAAGTGACGATGAATATAATGGTATTTCCAGAGTTTGTAATGATTGTAATAGAACAGAAAGCATCTTTGCTTTCTATTGGTGATACAAATGGAGGTACAGTTATTATTGCTGTATTTACATACTGTATTCATAATTGAAGGATTTTGGGCATGCACACCCATGTACCTGGTGTGAGCCTTAAGCTGCTGGGTCCAGGACTTGAACTGTGGTTAACTACTTTGGAGTTCAGTGACATAACCATTAGGCCATCTGCTGGTCCCTCTCATGTCATCTTTAAATAAGCAGGTTGTCAGGGATCTGGTGGCTAAAGGAGCTGGCTTCCAAATGGCTGACCACATGTTTCAAGTCCATGCACAGCAGCTTGAAAAAAACACTGGATGTGTATGTGTGCACCCAAAATCCTGAAAGGGGGAAGTGATGGAGAAGAAACTGTGGCATGACCATTCTCAGTGGGGTATACTTTCTCTCGCGCTCTCTCTCTGTCTCTGTCATTCTTTGGTGAATGCATGGACCCTCTAGCAAAAAAGAAAAAAGAAAGCCTTACCAGTTGGGGCTGGAAAACAGTTTTTGTTTTACAGAAATTTTTGTTGTAATACAGTGGTTCCCAGCCTTCCTAGCACCAGGGATTGGCCTTGTAGAAGACAATCCCTTCATGGACAGTGGCAGGGGTATAGGAAGGGGGTTGGCTTTGGGATGACCCAAGTGCATCATATCCACTGGTGTACCCCATTTCCACCACCACAATAGTGAAATGATCATATCACAATAGGGTTCATGCTCCCATGAAAAGCAAATCAGAAGAGTTGGAGCCCAAGTACCAATGCGTGTGCATGTGCCCAAGATCCCAAGAGGGATTACAACATGTTCATTCCCCTTAGGGGGTGATTTCCCACTTTCTCTCTGTCTCTCTCTGGAGAGCCCATGTGCCTTATGGCAAAAAAAAAAAAAAAAAAAAAAACACCTAAAAAAAGAAAAAATGATTATAAATAAATCCAAAAACATGGAGTTTAAGATTATAAAGGCAAATGAATAAAATCCCAAACTTGGCACTGAGTGAATTTATTGGTATAAATCTGCTGATTGAACAGATTTTCTGTTCACTTGTTTATATTTGCATTAGTGAATTATATTTCTACCAACATTTTAAGGTAAAAATTAAAAGGAGCATAGCCTAGAAGCGTTTTGATGCTTTAGGATAAAGCAGAATAGGATTAGGTTGTATTTTGGAACAGTATTCATCTATGTACTGTTTTGAGAATCCACTTTACAGTAGCAAATAAAATTTAAAAATTTTTTCATTCATTTGAGCTATTTAAATTACACTGGTAGAAATGTCTCTATTGATCTGAATCATATTCTTTTTTTTTTTTTTTTTTTTTTTTAGAGACAGGTCTTATGGGCCAGCCAGTGTAATGGTAGTTGAGGCTGGATCCCATATGTCTGATTGCTCAGTTCAAGTCCAGTGTCTTGAAAACCACACAAGGCATGTGTGTGCATGCCTGCCTAGTATCCCAAAAGGAAGGAGAAATGGAGAAGGGATCACAGTGTGACCATCCCTCATGGGGACAGGTGCTTTCTCACCTTCCCTTTCTCTCTCTCCCATGAGTGCATGTCCTCTGACAAATTAAAATTTTTTTCACATATATGTATCTAATTCTGTGTTTCCTAGATTGGCCTCATACTCTCAGTCCTCCTGCCTCAGCATCCTCAGTAACAAGGACTACAGGTACATCCTGCTACACTCTGTGATCACGTATTTTACATGATAGTTAATCTGGTTTGGGGGGGCAGTTGTGGTGTGGTGGTTAAGGTAGCTGGATCCCACATGACTGACTACATAGTTTGAGTTTCAAACATGTTGGCTTGAAAAACACACCAGGTGTGTGTGCTTTCGTGCCAAGACCCAAACAAAAAGAGATGGACGAGAAGGGACTGCAGCCCAACTACCCCTCATGGGGTGTTTTCTCATTTTCTCTCTCTTTTGCTTATTCTGTTCCTGGAGAGTGTATGCACCTTCTGGCAATTTTTTTTTAACTCTGGTTTTAGGGAACTGCAGATTGCCTAATGGTTATGTCACTGGAGTCCTACATGGCCAACCGTGTCCCGGACCCAGTGGCTTGAAATTCACACCAGGTGCATGTGTATGCGTGCCCCAAATCCCGAGAGAATGGAAAAGGGATTGTGGCATGGCCATCCCCACTTGTGTGTGTGGGTGTGTGTGTGATTTTTTATTTTCTGTCTCACTGTCTCTCCAGTGAGCTCATGTGCCTTATGGCAAAACAAAACAAAACAAAAGACCCACTCTCTCTCAAAAATTCCAGTTTCAGGGAACCAGCAGTTAGTGTAATGGCTATGTCGCTGGACTCCCACGTAGTTGACCGTGGTTCGCATCCCGGACCTGGTGGCTTAAAACTCACGCCGGGCGCGTGTGTGTGCATGCCCAAGATCCTGAGAGGAGAATGGAGGAGAAGGGATTGCGGCGTGACCATCCCCCCTGAGGGGTGATTTCTCACTTTCTGTCTCTATGTCTCTCTCTGTCTATCTGGCGAGCGCACATGCCCTATAGTGAAAACCTCTCAAAAAAAAAAAATTCTGTTTCAGATAATGAAAAAATTTACATTCAGAAATGAGCAAAGGTACAAAAACATTGAAAAGATGAGCCACAAACAATCTCTTTCACTGAAATCACAAAAGTTTTTTAATTGTGGAAGATTAGACTTTTTTGAGGGCATGAATTGGCATAAAACATGAGAAAATTATAAAAGATCAAGAAAATTACTGTATAGCTGACCACAAAACACAGTGATGAAGCACTGTGCCTTGGCAGCTTGATTCCACATTGTCATTCCATGGTTTGAATCCCAGCCCCTGCAGCTTGGAAAACACGCTGGATGGGTGTGCATGTGTGCCCAAAACCCCTGATTGGAAGGACAGCTGGAGAAAAGATTGTGGTGTGACCACTCTCAACCAGGGGATTCCTTCCCTCGTTCCTCACTCCATTTAGTGAGCACATATGCCCTCTGGCAATTAAAAAAAAAGACATTTATGGTAAAAATGTTGATTAAATAACTTACCTGAGTAATGACGATGTGCCAAGATCCTAATGTTATGTTAATTCTTCCATTAGGCCACATTCAAGTAATAACTGGAATACAGGAGTTAATTAAAACGTACTTGTGAATAAATATAGTTGAATAAATACAGATCAGCATAAATACATAGTATTTACTTTCTTCTTTGTTCATGATAGTGTGCATTGCACATGTGAGAGAGAGAGAGAGAGAGAGAGAGGAGCACCCTCTGCAGGGTCTAGTCATGCTGCCATCCTTTCCTCCAGTCTTCAAGCTCAGTTGATCTTGTGCCTTCATGCATATACTTGGTATGTTTCAGGCTGACCAGGATGGGGATTCAGACTGCAGTCGTCGGGTAGGATCCAGCTTTCCTTGAGCAGCACATTACCATGGTGACATGGAGCTACCCCATATGTAGTTATATTATTCATCTTTGTAATTTTGTCATAGAGTTTTATAACTTGGCAAAGTTGGTTCTAAAACAACCATACCATTGTTGGCCCTAAAGCTCAGTGGTTAAGTGCAGTGCATAGGGAGCTGGAGCCCACATTACCGACTGGTTCAAATCCTGGCCCTACTGGCTTGAAAAAAACAGTATGAATGCCCAAAATGGTGACAGGAGGGAGATATAGAAGAAAGTGATTGTAATGTGACTGTGTCCCACTGGGGGTGCTTTCTTTCTCTCTGGTAAAGTAAGGAATGAATGTTGTAGAGTAGCAGTAGTATGACAGGGCCAGTAGGTGACATATCCCAACAAGAGAATGGAAGAGAAGGGACTGTGGTATGTCATCCCCCGTAGGGGTGATGGCTCACTTTCTCTCTGTCACTCTGGCAAATGTACGTACTCTATCACACACACACACACACACAAAAAAAAAAAAAAACAAAAAAAACCACA